TAGGGTTTAGGGATAGTATATACTTTGGCCTTAAAGTAGTCCCTATATAGGTACTTTGGGGCCAAAGTACATACTAGTTGGGCACTTGGACCATTAGGGTTAGGGTTTGCTCAATACTGTCGTGAAAGATTCTACGCGCAGTGTTTCCATGCAGGCTTGGTGCCGGCTGGGGCCTCCCCCCTAACGTCTAAACCTCAAGCCCGGAATCCGACAGGTCGTATTTCTTCGAAGTAGGCTTGCGTCTGGCGCACCAGTCCCGATCAGGACCTCCTACAGACATGTACTTTCAATGCTTCCTCCTTAGGGTTTAGGGTTTAGGCTTTAGGGTTTAAGAGGACCAGAACAACACCCAAGTGGGCAGTTCCCGGACTTTCATGTCTTTCCAAGCCTTGCTACATAAGTGCCGAAGAAATCTCTTGACTGACGACGCACTAGGGTCGTCGGTATGATGCCTACGAAAGGTATGGGGTTTGCCTCTGGCCCGCTTGTGGAAGAAACATCCGAAACAAAATAGGAACCAAGGGCACGACTAGCCTTGAAACGTTACAACACCGTATCAAAGCCCACCCGAAAGAGCACCAACAAGACCGAATCAAGCCCAAACCCTAAACCCCTAACCCCCCAAACCCCAAACCCTAATTTCAAACCCCTAAACCCTAAACCCTGAACCCTAAACCCCTAAACGTTCCATACGCCTGCCTTTCCAAAGCAGAGTAGATCTCAAGAGCTCCTCACAGCCGAGGCGAAGGCTGAAAAAACGGTTGCGCTGTCGTAGATGTATCGGGTTTAGGACTTATAAGGTTTAGGGCTTAGGGTTTAAGGCTTCGGGTTTATAGGGCTTAGGGTTTAAGGTTTAGGGTTTTGGGTTTGGGGTTTAAGGTTTAGGGTTTAAGGCTAAGGGTTTATAGGGCTTTGGGTTTAAGGCTTAGGGTTTAGGGAATAATGTTTGGGGTTTAACGTTTAGGGTTTATAGCGCTTAGGGTTTAAGGTGTAGGGTTTAGGGTTTAATGTTTAGGGTTTCAGGTTTAGGGTTTATCGGGCTTAAGGTTTGGGGTTTAAGGTCTAGGGTTTATAAGGCTAAGGGTTTAAAGCCTAACCCCCCAGGTACCTACTACAAAGGGCCGTAGGGGCTCTAGTACCCTATATAGTAGGTACCTGGGGGGGTTAGGGCAGCATAGCTGGGGGCGCAAGAAAACACTTAATGACCTAATGTAAGGGCCTTATAATAGTTACAACAGGATTTGGGGGTATATTGTAATTACTATAATAAGGACCCCTCCCCCCAAAAACAAATAGTATAGGTAATTATAAAGGCCCCATGCGGCCAACAATGGAAACTGGCTTTGGGATGTTGGGGCTGAGGGTGTTTCACGTCTGGCCTCCAGACGGTTTAGGGTTTAGGGTTCAGGGTTTAGGGTTTAGGGTTTAGGGTTTAGGGTTTAGGGTTGTGGGTTGCTTCGTGGCATGTTTTAGGCTAGGCTGCAAAGCAACGGCTCTCGGGGAAAATGAAGGTAACCCTTGGGAAGAAGTACATACTTGTCCGGGGGCTGGTTCTAAGATCAAGGACCCATGAACAAGACGGCACAACTTCGTACACCAGTGAACAGCCCTAAACCTGGGTTTAGGGCTTAGCGTTTAGGGCTCAGGGTTGCCCTCATTACCCTAAACCCTAAGGGTTTCCCTAAACCCTAAAGGTTTCCCTAAAACCCTAATGCGTTAAGGGATTCCCTAAAACCCTAAACCCCGAAACCCTGCCACCGACGAAGCCAAACAGGTAAACCCTAAATTCCCACCCGGCCCCCTTGGGC